ATGTTTAGATGAAGCAGCTATAACAATCAATTTCATGATTCGTCGACTTTTATGTGATATATTTCATACTCCAGTTCTTAAAGATTTATTAAAAAATAAAATTGAAATGAAATTAAAAGAAATTGCTGTAAGTTATTTCTTATTTATTGATTACAAGACAAGGTTTTATTTTCTCAAATTTTTTATACATGATTCAAGCATTTTTTTTAAAATTTCATCTCTACACTGTAGATTAAAGCATTCAAGTTGTTCATATTTTGTTTTTTTTTTCTAGAGGAAATTTTATAATCTTTACTCATTGATATATTTTTTGTAGGTATCAATTCTTGAAAATCTTCGTGTTGTATCCATTGACTTAGGTAAAACATTTCCAATTATATTAAAAATTGAACCCATGCAATGGAATACACAAGGTATTTGGTTCAATTTATTCCTCTATTATCGTGGTAATTTCAAGTAAGTTTAACATTAGAAAATTTCTCAATGTTATCAGATCAATTCGTAAGAAAATTTGATTAGCTTTGTAGAGTATTTTTATAGAATACACATTCTCAAAGATTGTTGAAAAAAAATAAGGATGTGGGTGTGGATGTAAAAGCAGAGCAGACCAACACCCACACCATTCAATATGAGTTCAAACGACGGGTGTCACTTGAGATAATTCCATCGTAAGCTTTTTCAGGATTTATGCAAATTTGCCCAGTTATAATTTTTATAGCACTTGACAGAGGACACTTCAAAACATCTTGCGAAATAAAAATTTGTTTTTTAGTTGGGAAAGATAAAGGATATCCTTAGATTAGTTCGATTCTTTTCTGAGTATCCTAAGACAATCTCGAATTTCGAAGTTAATAATTGATTCATAATTAAATTTAGGTTATCCATAAAAAGTCGTGTTGTACTACAAAAATTGATTAATTATGATCCAAAAAACGATAAGCCAATATTTGCACAACATCAAATATCACAAATTGTTCATAAAGATAATGAAAATATTAATGAAGATGATTTAATTCAAAGACAAAAACTTTTAGCTAAAGAACCTGAAATTCCAGAAATGTATATAGATTATCATAAGTTCATATAGATTAAAATAATTAATTTTAATTTATTCTAGGGCCATAACACGAAGACTTGGTACTGTATTAACTAATTTAGCATTAAATAAATATTTTCAAATATTTGTAAATTTACCATTTATAAAAACATTATTTGAAAAATTTTCTCAGAAAGACGTTGGTATAGATGTTGAATTGACTAGTTTTAGTGGTATTCTTACAGTAAGTTATTCATTTTATATTCTTAGGAAAATCTTAATTTTCTCTTTTCTAATATAAAAATCTATTTTAGCTTAACATTCCTCCACCACCAAGTGATCGAATCTGGTAAATATTTTACTCATTTCATTTATATAATTGGTCAATTTAATTTTTTCAGGGTGGGCTTTCCAGAAATGCCTGATTTTAATATCAAAGTAACACCAACATATGGTGAAAAACAATATTCTTATATATTATTGCAAGATTTTCTCGCAGCTAAAGTTCGTGCTGAGTTGAAAGTTAGGAAATTCTTTTTTTTTTGTTTAAATAATATTTATTGGTTTATTTTGTAGCGTCTCGTTGTTCTTCCAGCTATGGATGATCAACTTTTGCCATTCTTTCGAGATTGGGTTATCGATATTATGTAAGTTTTTAACTTTCAAATAAGTAAAATCTTGAAGAGATATTTACTAAGCTAGAAAAAACATCTTCTTATTTTATTAATCAAATATTTCCAGTTGTCTAAATTCGATTATCTTATAGATCGAGTGTTGTTTTCTATTCGAAACTTTTGTTGTGTTTGATCATTATCCTTGACTCTTATGCTACTAAATTCAATGAAAGACTTCATGTTTTTTTTTTGATAAACATGTTTCATAATTACGAAACAGTCAATCGAAAAGGAGTTCTCAATAGATCATTTGATATATAAAATACCTAATATGTTTATTCATAAAGTTACCGATCTTATCTTTGTATCAGCGATCAAATGCTTACGAATCATATAATCAAAAGTAATCAGCTAGAATCAGAATTTCATGTTCTTTTTAACAATATATTATAAGAATTTATTTTCCGGCTTAAAGTTAGTTCATTGAGAACAAACCTTCCGCGGAAGTCAAAAACAGCGTCTATACAAAATTTGTCGTGTAGTTTAGTTTTGAATTTTGATAAGATCTATCTCAACCAAAACTATAAGAAATTATTTTTATACATTAGGTTGTAGAACGCAAGGCTGTTACAAATGATTGAAATCTATTACATTCTAAATACCGAAAATTCGAAAGTGGATATAGAATTTGAGGGTGTGAGTGTGAGTGTGAAGAGGATGCAAGAAGACCCACATCAACAACCATCCTTTATTTGTACTTTTTCTGCTGATTAAGAGGAAGTGTCCTCGAAAATAGTCGGCATCTGTTTTATTTTTATATGATACTACCATAAAAAATCAGAAGCACTAGAGATAACTCATATACTGATATTCTTTTATTTTTTATATAACTGAAAGCTTCTGTTAAAAAAGCTTTTGTTCTCTAATTGTAAACTTCTCGACTAATTTCATAGACTCATATTAGTACAAAGACTTTGTACATATAGATTAGAGAGTATGATCATGGGATGGCCTATTCACAAATGTTATTTAAGAATGGTTGAAAAAAACTCAGATGGTATATTAATACTTTGTGTTTTCCTATGAAATTTTCATGTGTATTATAATCGTCTACTCTTGTACTATTCGTATATATCGACATTAATTTGTTATAACTATAACCTCTAAAATTTTTTATCAAACATCCGATTTGCAAGCATTTTGTCGTTGGTAATTTAATAATCTTCTGAAGAATTGCACTGACATTATTCCTATTTTAATTGACAAAGATAGTCCAAGTACACTAAGTGTTATTTTAATAAAACAACTATCATTTGATATAACATTTAGTCTAGGATTTGTATGTGTTACTTTGTAAGAATCAAAACTATTTTTATTTTTATTGTTTTCTGATTGATCAAACGTTAATAGAAATCAAGTAAGAATACATCGTGTCCGACGAACATCTTAAATATTTACTTTTTCTCTATGAATAATGAATCATTTGAAACGCAAAATAAAAGACAATTGTTACATAGTTTGCTAATATTTTCAAAAATGGATTCTATTTGTCTATTACTTGTTTTCTTTTTTAGCGGTGATATTATAAGTAAACCTGTCAATCCACTTACTGATAATTATAAAACAAAATTAAACGTCCAAACTGCCGTTCGTGAAGGATTGCAAGAATATAAAAATGCCAAAAATGTTAAAAGACAATCACCAATATTATCCACGAGTTCAGGGACAACTCGAGTTCAAACGTGAAGTTGTTTTTACATTAAAACTATATTTTTGTTTTTGTTTTTGTTTTTTATGAGCGAGTAATAATTATGTATATAATCAAATTAGGATTAACATATCAGAAAAAAATAAACAATCAAAGCTCATAAGCATAGCGTATGAACTTCTCTAGTCAATTTATTAAAATTCAAATCACAGTTATGTTTGACTTTGAACATTTTTTCTGTTATTTAAGAGTCTCACACAAATTTTGTCTGCTGTCAATCTTGGATGTTAATACACATGCGAATGCTATGAATGAGCACTGTGTACGGTCAACAGTAATAATTACTTATGGAGAAATTATTCAGTATATTTCAGAAGATCAATTATTGTCATAGAATAGTGATGTATCCACGTGTCGTCTGTATTAGAGTTCTAAACTCCGTATTTTCATGATGTTTTTGTATCCGGGATCTGGCGAGGATCCAACGGAAACCCAAAGGATCCGTGGATCCGCTTTTTCCTCCTTGCAATGTTGGTTCTAGCACAATCTATATTCAACTAATGTCAACTGATGAACTAGTTCTAAATACAGTTACAGCGTTTGTGAAATTTATCAGTGTAATTTCATATAAAAATTTCTTTATTCATGTTCTGAATATTAAAGTATAAGCGACAAAATTAGCAGAAAAAGGAGAACAATGCTGTGCGGTTGTGTGTGAAGAGGACATTAATATCCTCACTCTTTGTCATGTATATGATGAAGATGTTTATATTGTTTGCCAATATGTTCAACATTCCAATTAAATTACATATTTATATTTACATAATTATTGTATAAAGAAAAATTCTCAAGAAGAAATTAATCTAATTCATTTATTTTTTCAATATTATGCAACAATCGATAAATTTTCTAACCGTCATCTCATACTGTCACCGTCACCCTCAAGGGACGTTCCCGGAGTGACCTACTCCTTGAACTTTTATTATCATAAAATCTTATAAAAGCAAGAATTTCACGTTCTGATCGAGTGTTATATAATTAAAACGTATAAAACTGATTTCTTTACACAAAAAAGAGACGAGACAGATAAGTGAAAAACAGCCAAATTATTTCTATCTCAAATAAAATCCATAAATAAACGAAAAAAGTATATGACAAGAAACTTAGACATCTCATGCCTCTCCAAACGGATGCCTTAGCAGCACTTCTCACAGACTGAGAGGAAAAAATCCATGCAACCTCAGTCTAGTACGTTCACACTACTATAGTATATTGCAATAAGTATTTTTATCATGAACACATAAATAGTATAAAGTCATTTACAAGACTATACGACATGTTGCTAAACCTTCTTGTTTACGAGCATAAGCAGCTTCATCATGTTTCATATATTTATTCCCAAGAGATTGTACTAACAGCTTTTTTCTAAACAATAATAATTAAAAATTCACTTCATACTATCTTGATGTTGACAATCTCTGTTCGTTTTTACTGAGCAATTTTTGTACATGTATGACAAAAGAAAACTTTCTATATTCCTGAATAGTTGGGACGCTTTAAACAGCTTTAAAAAGAAAAAAGATAATAAAATTTCTATTATTTATTAAACAATGCAATCTTACATTGTAAGAAAAACAGTGTATTATTTAACGATATTCAATTGTATATAATCAAATAAAATATTACGATAACGAAATTCATATCTAATATGAAATCCAAAATAAATATCCGATAATTCGAATACTTTTATTCTACCCATTGTTTCATTAAACCAATCAACATTACTATGTAATAAATATTTTGATTCGAACCAATCGAAATCCATTTTTCCATCACATTCGCAATCAAGACCATAATCAGCCAATGCATAAAAATAACATTCTACACATTTTTCCACACTAGGATCTTGACTACAACATTCATTGTAGTATGGTAAATATTTATCATTCTTGTCTAATTTAATACGACATATAATGTCATAAATTCCAGGTAATATTGATTTAAATTTACCTTTTATACCAGATTGATAAAGTAATTCATCAGAATATAAACGAACACATTGACCTGTTAAACTATTTAAATCATATTCGTGATTTTTTGAACATATTGAGTTGAAACAATGTAAATGATATTTTGAACAACGTAGATATATCCCACACATATCAACACCTAATAAACGTTTCGGTTCAATTAGATAAAAATAAATTAATTTACATAATGATATTTGAAAAATATTTTCTTTAGTTAATTTTTTATTTTTATTGAAATAATGTTCAAAGAATTCTTCGATTGTTAGAGACATTTTTAATTCATTAGTACGTGGATAGAATTTCCGTTTAAGTACACTTTTATAAGTTAGATAACCATCACTATTGTCTTTGCAATTTAACACATTGAATAACCAAATATTGCACACATATCTTGGTAAATTGTTTCGAAAAGATTTTTCAAATTTTTCTCTATCTTTATCTGTACGATATAAAACATAATCTGAATTTTTCTTATTTTGAAATATTTCATTAACATAAAGTTGATACAATTTAGATCCAAAATGATTTTTAATCAATATCATCCAAAAATAATTATCTTTTTCAATTAAAATATATAATCGCTTGCATGTTCTTGACAAGTTTATAATATCAATTAAACACAAATATTTACATAAGTTATATAAAGCATGATGAGGAAGATTATCTAAAAACATTTTTTTTCTAAAAAGAAAAACATAATAAACTTTGTTTTATTTCTTTCAGAGACAATATGAGATATAGAAAAAAAAATGAAATGGAAAATCATAAATCATTGTAAAGCAGCATAAATAACTAGTTTATCATCATATCATATCATTTGATTTTGATTTTGATTACCAACATTAGTACACATTATCTGGAAGACCATCATTATCATCAGTAATTTCGCCACTATCATCCTACAAAACAATTGTCCAAGAAAAACAAGAAAGGTTTCACATTGTTGACATTGAAGACTACCCATGTAGTTAGATATGTGAAATTAACACATTGCAACAATTCGTATTGTTTGTTCGTCTAACTGATTCTGCAGGGTGTGGGTGTGTGGATGTGGGGGTGTGAGTGTGGGTGTGTGGATGTGAGGGTGTGAGTGTGGGTGTGGGTGGGTGTGGGTATGTGGGTTAATAAAACACCCACACCTACACCCACACCCACACCTACACCCACACTCACACCTATACCCACACCCACACCCCCACACCCACCTACACCCACACCCACACCCACACCCGAATATAGCAGCGATTCCTAGATAAGAAACCTGATGAACAGGATCACTCCACATATCGGGACAGAAGGTAACAGCATCATTTTGAAGAGGTTCAAGTAGTTCTTCGTTGATACGAGTTCGATGTTCTTCAGCAAGTTTAGAAATATGAGCAGCAGTCACATCAGCACCTCTCAACACTTGATCCACATTTACATTTCCATAACGATCACCTTAGAAGAAAGAATAAACAGAGAGTATTAAAATTTTCAATCAAATACTTACCAATTGATATACATTCTTGAATCAATCGACGTAGACCATTATCTTCAACTATTGAAAATGGACGAATATTTTGACAAACCCATTTAGCTTGTAAATCTTTTATCTTCATAATTTCAGATTCTTTCAAACATGCTTGTTTTGTTCGAAAAAATGAAGTTAAACGTCCTTGTGTTGGAGAAGTTCCATTTGCTTCTAATATTTTATTTCTTTCTTTTGAACTTTCACAATTATGCTGATTCAGCATTCGAGTACTATTTGACAGAAATGAATAAGTGGTAAAACATTTCTTACATGACACGAAGCCATCAATTTGCTGAGGATCAGTATTCTTCTTGACGATGGCAGGAAAACCAAACGAAGACCAACAATCAGACTTGTGCTTTCCAGTATTTTCTATCACAGTATATTGATCAGGTTTTGTTCTAGGCATTGATTGAACTTGAGTGGACGTTAATTTAACCGAATTACCAGGAGAAGAGATCGATAACTTGACCAAAGAGGCATTCGAATCAGGAGAATTAGCATTTCCAACACGTGATATGGAAATCGGTGATAAAATTTCAGGAGAAGACATTATGTTATTGTTTGGTTAAACAGAACCTACTAATTTCTGAAAATAGCGATATATTAAATAAACAATGAAAAAAAAAGAAAGAATGAAATAGAAAAGAAATAAGTAAACTATATTATCTGGATGTACAGTAGTATAAAGACAACCAGTCAGATCACTTTTAACAGCTGTTCTTGTATTCTCAAATTATAAATGTCGTCCAACTGCGATGTATGAAAAACAATGCGTGACAATTTCATGTCAGAAAGATGAGACGGGATACCGAAATAAAACTATCTTGTCCTGTCCTGTCCCGTCCCGCAGAGCTCCGCCCACGGAAAAAAATTTTAATCAATACCGCGGTCAACCGCGATTTTTTCGTAATGACTGCGGTTTCTTCTTAATCAACCGCGGTATCGTAAAAAAACCGCAGTTAACCGCGGTTCGGTGCACCGCGAACATAAGTAACCGCGATGTGGTCAAACAAAATCGCGGTGCTTGCATCGCAGTTAACCGCGGTTTCAAAAAAAATCGGTATTTTAGGAATGAGTTGCGGGATTCAAAATCGCAACTTTTCTCGGTTTTTTATACCGGAAGATTATTCTCATAAATCGCGACCTCTGGATAATCTTGAAAGTCATAATTAGTCAAACTGCGATAATCAAAAATCGAACCTAGGTTTTCCTATATTATATTTTCTCACAATTCTGCATCACGGTTTTGTTAGGTGGGATTACGGTTACAACAGCATTTTTTAAACACAAGGTTTTCTTATTAAACCTGTTGCTGGATTATCTCCTGCCATAAGAAAGTGATGTTCTTGTGAAAAAAACATTTACGACATGCTGATAAAATATACTGATCTAATTGGATCGAATCTCGATGCTGGGATTGATATAAATTATCATTTAAAGTGTTAGTTAGAGGAAAACAAGGTCATGTTTAAAAGCTTGAGAGGCTATGTTGTTTATGATAGTTGAACTGAAGTGTGCAAACCTAATAGAAATCAATTCTAATTTTAAAGAGGAGAAAACAAAAATTGAAAATTTTCTAGAAAGTACAATTCTCCTACGCTAATGGTGTCATTTTTCTGTTTAATTTAAATATTTTTTTCGTAGGTTAAAGTCATTGTAATTGTAAATTATTTATATTTTTTAATGGATTATATTAGAAATTAAATTAAATTATTCGATTTCCTTAGGACGCTTTCTCTTAGAAATACATTAGGATCTGACTTTCTCAGATGTTATTAAGAAACTACCGTCCTATCGGTTCATTTTGAAAAATAGAATATTTTTTATTTTATTTTTTTTTACATCAATAAAAAAATTAAAAGTATACCATTTTTACTTTAATAAATATAATGTTTAAAAAGAAGATTGTTTTATAACATAGAGTATCCAAAAAAAAATAGAATAATTTAATTTAATTTCTAATTTAAATTATAAGTGCAAATAATTTTAATTTATTTTTAAATTTAAATTATGAAAAAAAGAATTCAGGTTTATTTTAAATTTTTTAATTTATAACTAAATAAAATTAAAAGTAAATATAAACTGACACACCTATATCCTTCGCATTCACGTTACTATCCAGGAGCCGCGCGAGCGAGGGGGTGACCCCCCTCAATAATTGAAAATTTTTGTTTTTTTTTTTGAGTGACGGGAGCAGATTTGGAACAAATTTTGTGTTTTTTTTTAAGAAATTTTGCTCTAAATACCCTTTTACACCCTCCCAAAAATTTTTACACCCTTTCAAAACTCGCTACACCCCCCCTCCCCAATCTTAGACCTTTCGCGCGGTCCCTGACTATCTTCAATATTTTCTAGTTTTTATCATAAAGAATATTATGTTTGATCTTTCTATGAACATCATGATATGGTTCAATGGAATTATTGGACTGTAAGTATAAGGTAAGGAGTTCGAATCTCATAACAAGCAAAGAAATTCAAATCATCGGCGGTATGATCGAGATGAACCGCGGTAATGGACACCGCACTGGCAACGAAGTTACAACCGCGGTTTGAGTTAATTAACAAGCTATAGAATAAGTGACATCTATACAGAGAATAGTTACCTCGGGAAATATGAATAGATTTTTTTCAAAAACCGTTGATAACCGCGGTTTTAAGATACCGCGGTTTTAGACGGTCCATAAAAACCTAATAAACGGTCTGACTCCCGCGGTTCATATTTACCACCATAAAACGCGACTTTTTAACCCGCGGTAAGTATCGGTTTTTAGCGAAAATTTTTTCCGTGGGCGGTATAGTGTTTATATCTCTCTTATTACTCTTTGCGTTAGCATATCACTCCTTTTATTCTCAAATAACATTGAAAAAAAAGAAAAAAACATACACAGACAAAAAAGCACACCACATTGACACACTCGAACACATGTCGTCTTCCTCACATATAGTGGCATACCGATGATGTTTTTCTTATTCAACAGGGATAAATCGAAAGAAAAGAGAGATGAAGAAAGATAAAAAGAAGAGCTAAAGAATGTAATACATGACATAAGAACAGACAAGACAGAAGAAATTATTTAACTAAAGATGTATCATGGCCAATGGCTATGACACATTGATAAATCAGAATACGAACTCGAAATGATATCAAATGTCTTTATATCAGTCTTACTGATAAAATCGCGAAGAATCTCATTGGAAGAAGTGACTAGAATTCATCTGTTTTCAAGACATAAAGGATAATTTCTATTGATTATCAGTTGATCCCGAAATTATTCGTTGATCTGCATCATCTGCAATTGCGGACAATATATTAAAGTGAAACGAAGCACTTTTCGTAGTTCGGATTTAATGTGCAGGTGATAGATGATGAAATTTTTCTGTTTGATGAAAAAATCGAACTCTATCTCTTGTGATCTTCAGTCATTTTGAGATCTTCTGACAGAAGTCGTTTGTTTCGCAGGTTACAAACTAATTCGTACTCATCGCATTTTTGCTTTAATATGTCTCTCGAAGTTCCATGAAATCGTACTATTCTAAAGGGGAATTTTTCCTTCACACGATGAACTAAAAGAAATGTTAAATTGAAATCGATGTGATACTTAAACGCTATAAAATCATTAAAGTCTAGAAGTTTTCTTTGAGACTTGGAGTTTGAATTTCGCCACAGATAGATGTCGACATGTACCAAACCGAATCTCAACTTCGAGTTTTGATAACAAGCTTTACAAGATTGAATTGGATTTTCTACACTCTAAGAGATTGAATGGATTAAATAGACTAAGATAGATTATAGCTGGAAGATGTTTTTTAGATCGGGATAACTTTGATTTCTTGTGGATCCCTTGCCTATCCATAAATAATCAATATTCAGTCATAAATCTCATAAAATTTAATGCTCAGATACGTCTACTAATGAAAAACGGCGATTATTCAACGATAAATAACCGGATGAACTTATTGAAGTAGAATGTTTAGTTTTTGTTAAACCATAGTCAAAAATGAACTGATCATTACGAACTAAAGACATTTGTTTATCAGAATAACTTGCAATTGCACGTATAACATTTGGACCTACGTCAGCATATGGAAGTGGTGCGATACTCCCTATAATTCAATATATCTCAGTCAATTCTTTTGTCAAACGTCGAATGGCTGTTGCTATTAATACATGAAAACTGCTAACATCAGAAAGTACATATTCTTTGCTACTAGCTTGAATATAAAATTGAGCAATATTTTTAACGAATTGTAATTCATCAGTTAAAGCATGATAACTCATCAATACTGCTAAACATGCCTTCAAAATACGATATAGATCTTTGTTATAATATTGAAATGAATTAGTCGCATCAATGACTAGATCGAATCGAATTGAATTGAATTGATCATAGTCGACTTTCAATTTCTAAATCATTTCAATCAAACTGTAACGGTAATACTGTTGCTAAATTGTCATTCAATTCTTTGCAAAAAATTTAAGTATGCTTGCTTAATCTACCTGCACTGAGTGATGTAAGTTGTGATTGATTAGCAGATAATCATGATAGCCGACTATCAAATATAACATAATCACGAAAAACTAAAATTTTCATCTCGAATTCGATCAATATTCTTCTTCTTCTCTAAGATATAACACAGCATTAACATGTTAAAGACATGTGATCAGCTCAATTCTTTTTATTTTTTTGTTATTATAAAATGAGTAAATTACATGTAGAACGTCAAAAGAAAAAAGAAACCATTCACTCAATGTGATGTCATTGTTTTTCTCGTTGCTTTAGATGCCATATATTTACATGCAAATCAGTAAAGATAAACTAAAAGAATTGTAGAAAAAAAAACCAGAGCAACCTTTTCACAATATTTATTTCTTGTTAACTCAGTAATTAATTTGATCAAAATAATAAATAGACAAAGACAAATTTTTAAGCGACAGCATAAAAAAAAATTGAAAAGCATTAACATTTTTTTCTTATAATGACATTATCTGTTAAGTATAATCGGTCGATATTCCAATATTTTGAAATGATATTCACTAAACAAAACAGTTAAATGGTAAAACTTTGAAAAGCAAAATCTCGAAAATATTTTTTTTGTTTTCGAAAGTGATAATAATAATGTAGAAATTACAGCTTTCGCTCGTGCTCACAATATCGGATTGCACGTTCGTTGTTCTCTCATGATTGATTCATGAAAAGCTGGAAAAAGACCTGGATATTGTGGCTGTAAAGTTTATAATTTTCGATATTTTTTCGGTCGACACTTTGCAACTTTACCAACAAAATCAATTTGTTTTTTTATTTATTTAATAATACTGATAGATAGAACATCTATAGAAGAGAAGTTATAAAGCTAATGACAAAAACACACATTATGAAAGTTTAAATGTCACTCAATTTATATACAACTGTTCATGATTGAATTTTGAGTTTAGCGAACAATAAAACCATTATAAGTAAAATAATACTGATCATGGAAGCAGTGCGACTTAGTGCTCGATTACAATAATCTTTATCGGAACAACAATAACGAACACTACTACCAACACCACTTCCAGATGTACATGCTCGACCACCAGCCATACGCTCTACATAAGTTGGATAGACCACTTTCTAGTGAATTCGAAAACGAAAGCATGGAATTCAATGTAAACATAATTACGTACTAAACAATAGGTATTGCCTGGAACTGGAAGATCGCCTGATGTAGCTTCATTATACGGATCATTGCATCCTGAATTACTCCAACCAGTACAAGATATACAATTTATTTCATGTGTGATCGGAATCAAGACTAAAATCGATACTTTTATATGTTTTTTATAGAAAATATTCTTACCAAATAGACAGAAAGATGATAAAATTAAAAAATTCATTTTTTGTTTCTATTGAGAATATTTGTTGAACTGCAGAGTTCTGTGCCACAAATAAATAATTGAAAGGCGAAAGAATCGAATTTCATTCTTATTTATTTAAGATTTCTATGTAAATTATAAGATTTTGTTTATTCTTAATTTTTCTTTCATGATTGTTCTACTCTCCAACTATATACAAAAGAAAACATCTCTTATAACGGGTGGAGCAAAAGTTTTGCATTAATTTTGTTTTTAATATGGCGATGCAGTGGAACATCTTGAAGGGTGTAGCTATTTTTTGTTAGAAAGAGCAAAGTATCTAGTTCGCAAACGTATAAAAGAATTCAATTACAGATGCTTCTTAAAGGCTATAAAATATTTAGAACAAAGAACATTGAAAAATTATTCCGCAACTTTTGTGAAAATTTTTTAGTCCGAAAATGTTTGTTTTGCCGATTTCTTTAAATACCAAATATTTTGTAGTACTTTATATATATACTTATGCTTCTTTACGAAGACTATCGTTTAAGTATCATAACAATAGGTCTACCATAAAAGAGAATTAAAGAAGGAACTTTTATATATGAAAAATATTTCATTTGATAAAATATTGAAATTTTCTCAAGTTATATTAATGTAAAAGCTACTGATCGATTGATTCTTGTTTTTATTTTATTCAAAAGCTTTGAGAACATTTAATTATGATAACAACAAAAAAAAACTGAATGTTTCACATATAACAAATGGAAACTAACAACAGTAAATTGTTAGACAAAGAAAAACTAAAACTGAAGTTCTTTTCTTCATTTGAGGTGACACAAAGTTCCGTTTCAAATGAAAATATTCTCAGATCCATAGTTGAAAGTATATCGAAACAAAATTTTTTTCCTAACTTAATTTTTATATAACCAATATTTGTGAAAACTTTCACATAAATCCCCTCGACTGCATCGAGAAAGAATTTTGGAAATGGGATACAACCTTTGAAGTTCATCCAAAAAGTAAATGTCTCTTTTGATGAAAGCAACAACATAAATAATTATTTATTAAGAGGACATATTCAATCTAAACGAGTTATACAAAACAAGATAAGATTAACTAATTGATAAAAATATCTACAAGAAAATTTTATATAAATCAAATGAACAAAATGAACTTTTTTATTTAATCGCAGAGAAGAGTTGTTCATCGGGTTTGAAATGATCAGTAATTAATTAGAGTTCTATATATTGATTGAAATTTGCTGGAATGATACTATTGAGAATGACAAGATATATTGAAACAGTAATCACTGGTAATGACATACCGGTGCTTACCAATGTTTTCGTTAGGCGGCGTAACAAAAATGTAAGCAAACGACCGACTTGAACACTACCTATGGATCCCAATATCACATATATTTTTATTATTATCGACGAAGATGGTAGAAGAGCGAATAAGACCAAAATATTGTAGGTAAAAAAGTCTCCAGGACCCAGTGTCCCACTTGTTTTCCATTTATCAATGCCGTCAATATAATAGGTCCCTGAGTGACACTTTTTTTCTTGGAGTAATTGCTTGATTTGTCAAACTTGAATGATAAAGACGGTCTCAATGATGTAAACATGTGAAACTAAATGATGAAACAAAGAAAAACAATTTAGTAAAATAACTTTTGATAATTCTATAATTGACATCTGAATTCTCTCATATCGTTCATATCATGAATTTAAAAATTTTTTAGTAAAAGACAAAATTTGAGTTGCTTCTCAGGGAAGATAATTGATGATCATTCTCAAAATTTCTAATTAATCGAAAAAAGCAATATTTAAAGAAATTTGAGAAATATAGATTATCTCTAGAATTTTTGATTATCGTTTGGAGATGTTGATTGGCAAAAGTCAGGAATGATCGATCCGTGATAATTACATGTACTGCAAAGCGTATGGAGAACGATGATCTTTTTTCATGTAAACTATCGAAAAAACATTGTCATTCATTAATCCAAAATGAACTTGGAAATGAATTAATTAATTTATCGACTTGTTTTTGTAATTCTACATTTGAATTGTTAAAAAAATGCTTCATTCATTCTTAGTCAAAATGTTTTAAGTTTCGGCAAATGAATACGAATAATTTATTCCCATTTATAACCGTTGATTAGACTATGTTTAATGCGGATATACAAATAACATAAATTAGACATATTTTGTAAAACTAAGTCAAGTTTCGAACCGATTGATTTATCAGGACAATAAAAGTTTTATTGAATTAGATCTGAAGGTGACAATAGTATATGTAATTGTCATCATGAACAGATGGTTCATTATGCATCGAAAGATGTTTGTTTCGTTGTTATTCACTATCTGAAAAAGACGCTCTCGATGCCAAAACGTCACGAAGAGAAATAAAGTACCAACAAGGAAGAGAAACTATCTTTGATCAAACACAGAGTCTATCAATGTGAAAAGTAGATACACACTAGTAAACTTTGAGAACTTGTAAGATCAGGTGTTCTTCATATGATGAATAGTAGAGGGCTAATTATAGAATTTATTTTTCTGCATAACTATAGAGAGACAAGTCAGCAAGAACTAAAATTTCGCATTTCTAGGTTTTCATTTATGCGCATTCATTTCTGGTAGTAAAATGTGTGTATCAAAATTTTTGATAGTATAATACTATTAGCAGATATCCTCTATTCTTATGATCCGTCTCTTAAACATATAGAATCGCTCTTGCTCTTTCTGTCGTTTTTATAATGACGCAAGACTATTCACAGCTACACATCGAGAGAGAGTCCAAGGAAATGAACTAATCAGTATTACTAGGGGTGCAAGGTTTTCTCCGACAAACTTGGCTCTCTTTCTATGACTCAATAAGAATATTCGAGCAAATAAATACGTGTACATTTTTTGCTACTGTTTTTAAATAATAATTCTATATTTTAAACTTCATTTTTCATCTTCATAATCATTGACATCCATCAAAATATGTCATCATCAAATCTTTGTTGTCTTGGTATCCTCCTAGCTCTCGTCTTCGGATGGTTATATTTTTGCTCGGTAGTTCTGTTGTAAGTTATATTGTTTCAATGGCACTTACAGAATAACTTTCCTCTTTCTTTCTCAATTCTAGTTGAAAAAGGATTCATGACAATATGTTCTCAAAATAAATTTCTGAAAATACTGTCATGTATCAAATCATTAGTAAACGGAAGTATCGTCAAGATCAGCTTTAGACTGTTGACTACTGGTACTACTTTTCTGTAATTGATTTCTTTCGAGAATACTGTGGAAAATACTTGTATTCTGCTGTGTCATTTTATTCTGAGTGGCAACTATTGAACTACTATTAGTTTTATCACTCAACTATTGGGCTTTATGGAGCATCGGTGTCGACACCTTGCTCATACTTTTCTGAGCTTTGAGAATTTTTAATGAATGGCACAAAAATGGAAAGAACAAAAGACCAACGACCATCTTTCTTCTTCAGCCGCTCATTCGGACATAAACATATAATTCTTATTATCAAATTGATATTGTTTGAATTAATCTAGAAAACAGCTAATAAACATTTCTCTAATTTTGGTCGGTCTCTTTCGGGTGTGTGTAGGCATGTAGAGTATGCGTTTGCAGCAAACCCACATCCTAAGCGATTATAGATTCAAATCAACTGAGATTTTCCGATCTCACTGTAGTCAAGTACGTACAAGATCGATTCTTCTTGCTTATTTTCTAAGAAAAGAAAACTATTTTCGAAAAATAACATTTTTTTTTCATTTCATCTGAATTTCAGACATTGAATCCATTACAATGACTGATGATCATCATAAACGCAGCCTTTTGATTCTTGTTCAGTGTAAATTCTAGTGGAATTTGCTCTTGATGAAGACCACTACTAACAATCGTTGTAGAGACAGGTTGAATTAAGTCAAAATCTGACGATACACTGCCGCTATTAAGCGACAATGAATCCTCTATGATTTTTATACATAATTGACCAAGAGAAAAAGAGCTGAAATCAGATGTTTTTTTGATTATCTGTCAACTTTAAATAAAATTAGCGTAATCAAAAACTTCAGAAAAATTGAAAACATCACATCTTTGTATATTATTATAGTAGACCTCATTCTATAATTATATGAATTATCTTCTTTTAACAACCAAGTTCTAGTTATAGGCTTAAATTATAAGAAAATACTTTAAATCAAGACATAAAACGTTGAAAATCAGACTTTTTTTTAATCAGTGATTTTTTCTTTATTTATAATTGATAAAAAATCAGCTCTTTTTCCTTTGGTTGAAAGCGCATTTGTATATATACCAAAATCAAATATTATGGATGGTTGAAAAGCGACAACTATTCATTTCATTTCATTTGGTGAACATAAATTAGCCAATGGGAAAAAAAGACGAATCAGTAAAATAAATTCGATAGAAACAAAGATATTTTATAGTTGTCCTTCCATATAATGTCATCCAATTTTGAAATTTTTCTTTTATTTTTAAAATGGCCGATTCGTCGACATCCATTAACATCGACAATCTTGTTCGTGTCTTTAAACAAAATGATAATGAAAACCAAAAGTAACTGTCTTATCATAACTTCTATCTTTTTTTTCTATTTCTCTATTTTCTTAGTCAAATATCGGTTAAACTTGAACATCATGATCAATGGATTAATAATTCAATTTCTTTTCGACAAATTACTCAAGATATTTCAAGTAATTATTTTTATATCTTTCATCAAAAATTTATTTCTTTAATCTTCATAGTGCTACCTACAATATCTACTATTTCAAAAGATAATCCATCTGAATCTAATTCAATCATTAACAAAGATTCTGAAATGTTCACGGATGAACAAGGTCCACGAGAAATAAAATTATATTCAGCAGCTCAATTTCGTTCACATATTAATCGTTTATATCCATTTCATATGGATTTTTTTACTGATAAACTATCATCACTTGATTTTGAACAACATCGAATGGGTTTATATATATTCTATGATGTTAATAATGGTCATTTAATTAATGA